ATGTGAAACTCGCAGTCATTCTGCTCGTTATCATGAACGGGCTTATTTCCGATCTAACCGATTCCATCACGCACTTCGGCCATTAGCGTGCATTCTTTTTTTTGTATAGGAAACAATTAGTCACGTAACACATCGATTGTTCCGAACGGCAGTGTGAAATAAAAAAAATATTCCTGAGAACAATACGTCACGAGCACTCGTGTGTTGTGATCGCTTTGTTTGTTGCAAGTTGCTGCGCGAAGTTCTGGAAATGAGCGTGTCACCAGTTTGTCCTACTGTGACGTGTTACACGTGGCACACGTGTGCACGTGGTGATGGGCGCCATGTAGCCTGTCGGGGCCACCGCGAGAGAGCGTGTTAGCAGATGCTCCTGCCACATGCGCAGCACGGTAAATAATGCACGATGTTTGGTGATACTGCGTTGGCAGCGGTGCCCTCCATTATGCGCTATGAAACGTCACCAATTATATATTTTTATTGGCAAATGTGTCGAGTTTTTATTTTTGGAAACAAAAGAATACTGAGAAATCACAACATCCTGTGCATCAAGTATTATCAATGAGCTCCATGTTTACACAGGAAAGCCTGATCGGCACTAGAGTCCTGCTTGGAAACATTTGACCGATGATTTTGAGTCCTTTGTTTGTGTATTTAGTTTAACATTTGAAGGCTACTTATTGCTTACGTGGCCCTTTTAGGAAACCGGCGATTGCCTCTTTGCGATCGCCCGAGTATACCTGCCCACCATGTATGTGCCGCTTATGTCCGCGTGTATTGATGTATTAATGATCGTGAACCTAAAAGGCCTGTCGTGCCCCCTCTTTGATGCACTTCCGATCAGCACGATTGGCTACGTAAGAAGTTAAACATACATGCGATGCATAAGGTTTTTTTTCTGGGTTAGATCGCGAAAATATAAATGTGTCGTTAAACCCGCCACCACGTTTCGCTGTAATGACCAGCGACACTTCGTACTCGAATGGTAAATGTTGTGGGTTTACTCTCGGAAACACCGGTGTCCTGAAGTAGTAACTAATTGACACGTTTTGTTTACGTGACATAAACTTTACTAATTGGCTGTATCGGGTCGTGGCGGGTTTAACGACACATTTATATTTTCGCGATCTAACCCAAAGAAGACTTTTATTATGGATATTTGTCGCGAAAGCCGACAACTACTACGTGTTACACGGACACATACGATGCACTGTGAGACATGCTTCACATCGCCTTCCCGTTACCCAAACCTCCCCCGAGTATTTCCCAAATCTCCACCATGCAGCGAAGCCAAGCCGGGCGAGCCTGGCCGAGTCCCGGGCCATAGGCCCGTGGGACTGTGAGATCTCTCTCTCCACGGACCACGATCATCACGGTCCCAACCATCCTGCCAGCTCACAGCTCCAGCGCTGTCCTCTGTGAGAATGCTCTCTTGGTGTTAATGGTTCGATGCCGTGACGTCTTGAAATCCACCGTTCGCCGGTTCGATTCGAGCCCTCTCGTGCGGGTGCGAGGCTGCCAAGTGACATTCTCTCTTATGGCACCAATTTGATGACAATTTGTTATGAAAACCAATCATACTGTAAATCATGAGAAGGAACTACGCGTTATTTACATGTCATTGTCTTAACTGCCCTCTTCATCGTCTTGCTGATGAAGCTTTCAACACGTGGAGCGTAACGTCGGACATTATGCTGAACAACACCCGGTACGATCTGAACGCACATCGGGAGAGCGATGCATGCATTGTATCCTTATTTTTCGTAGTCGTATTGCACTTGTTTAGCCAGGAAAGGCTCACTGAGTCTCAATAATATTCTTCAGGAGGGTCCTGCCAAATTTTCACAGTCAGGAGTGATGCTGCTGCTTTTAATCCCATTTGAGTAATTTTCAGGTATTCGTTCTAAGTTTTGGGATATTTGACATAACAGTTACGTTGTATTTGTTTTTATTTAGCTATGGGAGGAAACCAGAGAACCCAGAGGGAACCCATGCAGAATAGAGGAAGGACAAACTTCACACACAAAGGCGTCTGAGTCAGGGATCGAACCCAGAAACTTCTTGCTACGAGCCACTGTGCTGCCTTTATGTTGCCTACAGTGCACTGTAATTACAAATCATTGTCACCGCTGCCCTTGTTCATCTCTTCGCAAGCGTTGCCACTACCATTCATGGTATTTTCTTTAAGAGGCGAACGTCTGGTACGCAGGAGCTCGGGAGTCTGATCCCGACCCTAAGGCCTGCTGCTGTATATTTGGAGTTTGCGTGTCTCTCTCCCCGTGGTAGCGTGGATTCTTTCTCCGGGTCCTCCGGGTTTTCCCACCACATTTAGAAACGTGCGCTTAGATTATTTCGATTATTTTGCTGCTCTAAATTTACACTTGATAAGCTACTTTGTTGAGCTATCATTTGTGTCCAAGTCGCTTCTGAAAAATAAGTTAATAGCGCAGTGGGCTTTACCCGGTAAGATACAAATAGCTTGGTTTTATTTGTATATATTTTTAAAGCGTCTTGTTTACCTTTCCTATACTTTTCACTCTTATCGCGTGTTTGTATTGTTTGTTGTAACCTTCTGACCCGCCCCTACTGAATACGTGTGAAAGAGAGCTTTATAGCTAATCGGATTCCTCCTGCAGTATAAATAAATAAACATTTCCGACTCTGAGATGTGAACGCGGACGCCCCCTGGTGGTGCGGGCGCACGGTGCCTCCTCGGCCGCAAGGATGGCAATCTTGTTATTCGTCTGCGGGGTATGGCAGCGACGATGCCTTAATGAGATAAATGCAAATGTCAGGGTCTGCTGTCCACGACGAGAGGGCTTCAGGAGAAAGTTCGGTTAGTCTTGCTGTTATTACTCATCTGTTGAAGGAGCCCAGACTCCGGTTAGTTTAATATGTAAGGTCAAAAGTTTGGGTTGCACTGCCGCTGTCGCACTGCAGCTTGTCTGTGTGTATGTATATGGGTATCTGTGTGTCCCTGTGCGTTTCTACGTATCTCTTAATATATCTGTGTGTCTCTGTGGTTGTGCTATATGGTTCGTAGCTTTGGTTGCGTGGCCAGTGTCTTCAAGGAGCAATGAGGTGTGAGATGTTTGGCCGGTTTTGCCGAGTCAACATTCAAATGCGGCTGCGGTGTGGATCTCGGGCTCAGCACGGCGTGCGGTTTGCATCCATCGCTGAGAATCAGTCGACATTATCCCACCTATGAGCTCCAAATGTTGATGCTAATGAGACCCTGGTGTTTCGCACATTCATTATCCTTGGGTTCTCTCGGCAATGTCAACGTGTAACTGACAGCGCAGCAGCAGCCTGTCACTCCCTGCTGTGCTCAGTATGCAGAGGCGACATCCCTGGAATTCTGAGCTCTGCCCTTGAGAATCAAGTCAGCTGCGGTTCCAATTTCTCCAACACCTCCGATTAGCACGGTTGGCCACGTACGATGTGCAATCTATATAGACGCGTATTCAATTTGTTTACGTGGAGGTACAGATATGTGACGACGTATTGTACGCTTATTCATTGAGGGCTATAACGAGGTGACATCATCGTTCCTACACCTCGGCGATTGTCATCACGGTCCCGATTCGAATCAAGAATCAACGTTGACCACGCGGTGAATGGCAGCGCCTCTCGTAGCTGTATGCGTGAAGTGAGCACACGGCAGGACTGGGTAGAGGAATCGAGATGCATTCTGCGCGCTACGCGCTGGATTACCGATGCCAGTACTTGCTGTGAGCCAGAAAAAGTCGATACGGTATTCGTCAATTGATCGAATCATTCTTCCACCCCTTGAGACTTGGGGCGGTGACAGGGCCGCTCGTTGCAGAAGTCTGTGGTGTGATTCCAGCCGCCGCCCTGGTTAATACTGTGGTGGGTATTTGCCATACAAATACGGGCCACGGTGGACATTAAAGATCTCGTGATGTCAATGGCAAGAGCACGCCATCGTGGTGTGTGCCAGCGTCATGGAACACATTTGCCAAATTGAAAAAAATATAAATGTACTCCGTTGGGACCTACGTACTGTATGTTGTTGTTTGACTTGCTGGGATTTTTTGCACACAGCGTTGGTGTACGGTGCTTTTTTTGCTGTGGTTTTCACACCTGATGATGATTGCTTGTGTTGCAGTCGAAACGTCGTGAGAATTTAATTGTTTTATATTTGTATTATTTTATTGTTTCCCTTCTACGTGACTTTACCGAAAGAAACAAGAATATGAATCCCTGCAGTCACGAAAGCTTTTAATCAGAATATTTTGCGGTTTATTTTCATGGATTTTCTGTTTGCACAGTCACATAGTCACTTTAAGATGTTTTTCTTCTTCGTGTTTTTGTTTTTGTTTGTTTGTTGTGGTTGCACCCGATTCAAGAGCCGAATGGCTCACAGGGCTATACCAAAATAAACTGAAAAACTTAAATGTTGAACTTCTTTCGCACCGTACATAAAAAAGCCCCTCGTGCGAAAACTTGGCACAGGACCCTCCTGCAAAAGACTCTTGAAGACTCCGGCCTCGCTGGGTAAACACGCCAAGCACATGCACACACACGGAAGACGCCTGGGTATCCCCGCACTGAAAGAGCTTTACCTGTGACGCTGCTGGGTTGGTAAGTGGTGCAGTGGCACAATCAACAAAGACTCGACACAATCGTCAACAACACTGCCTTCAAACGACGTTGTGGGGCAGTGGTTGCGTCTTTATAGACCGAATGGCCATTGCCCGAAACGTCGTCAAAAACGCTGACGAACGCCTTGACACCGACAACACGTGCTGGGCGGGGTGGGGGGGGGCGCGGCGCGGGGAGGGGGCGGGGCGTGGGGAGGGGCGGGGCGTGGGGAGGGGGGTGGAGACGTTGGGGGAGGTGGCGTGCGAAAGGGGCGCGGCTCGTAACGTAACGTGTGGGGGAGGGTTGGGGGATGGGGTGGGGCTCGTGACGTAACGCGTAGGGATGGGGGAGGGGTGTGTGAAAGGCTGGGGGGTGGGAGCGGGGCGCTCTCGCGCGGTGGGCTCGCTGCTGCCGCTGCTCTCGCGAGAGTTGGCGGCGCGGCTCTCGCTATCTTTGTTCGCGGCGCTCGAGCGGGAGGAGGAGGAGCGGCAGGAGGCGGCGCGGCTCGGGCTGTGAGCGGCGGTGGCGGCGCTCACGGAGTAAAAAAAACCACCCGCCCGCACGGTGGTTTTTTTTACTCCGTGCGACAATGCGAGCGGGGCGGCCGTGTGGCCCACGGGCAGGCGCGGGGCCGCTCTCACGGCGTTCTCACGCCGCCTAAACACCCCACCCCCAGCACCCCCCCCCCGTTGCGTGCCGGGCTACAGCTGCCGCTGCTGCTGCTGCTGCCGCCTCCCCGGGTGGAGGTGGCTGCTCGACCGCTGCGTGTGGCTGGCGGAGCGGCTGCGTGGGTGTTGGGGCGGGCGGGTTGTTGTTGTTGCCTGCTTGTATCGTCGTCTGACCGGGTAAGGTGCCCGCTTACGCGCGCGGGTAGGTGGGTCGCTGGCTTGACGACAGCGGCGGCGGCGGCGCGCGCGATTGCCCAACGGCGTTGTCAGTGCCTGCCGAGTGTGCGTGGGCTGCTCGTGTGGCTGTGTGAAGCTGACGATGCGACCGGGCGTCCTTCGGAATCGACGACGGTAGCAAGGTTTCGTCGCGCGCAAGAGGAGCGGCATCGGCAGCAGTGGCCCCCGGCCCCGCCGGGGGGGGGGCCTCCCCGCCGTGGCCTCGCACCGTGGCCGCGCCGTGCCGGCCTCCACGGCCGGGGAGCCGCCCCGCAGGGCCCCGGGTTGCCCCATGGCCGCCTCCCGGGCCGTGCTGCAATCGGTGCAGAGACTCGTGGCTCTGGAGCAGCGAGCCCGGCGGCTCGCCCAGCGCCTGCGCCTCGCCCAGGCGGAGGCGACCGAGAGCCACGCGCGGCAGCAGCTGCGCGACCTCCTGGCCGAGCAGCAGCAGCCGCCGCTGCCTCCATCTCCATCACCGCCTCCTCCTCCTGTACAATCGCAGCAGCAGCAGCGGCAGCGGCCGCCCCGTGCCGTCGACGCGGCCGGGAGGCCCCCGCGGGGTGTCGTCGAGGAGCTGGGCCGTGTGCCCAGGAGCCTGGCGGCCGCGCTGAGGCACGTCGAGAGAGCTCTGGACTCTGACGCCACGGAGAGCAGCTCGGGTGGCGACACGGATACTGAGGAGGTGGACGACGACCACGTTAGAGACGCCTACTGCGGCGGCGGCGGCGGCGACGACGCCGACCACCACCACCAGGGTAGCCGCAGCGGCGGCGGCGGCGCCTGGGTTGGCGATCCCGGCGCGGGGGCGTGGATGGGCCGGGTCCATCACCACCAACACCACCACCACGATCAACAACAACAGCAGCAGCAGCAGCACCTCGAGCATCCTCGCTCGGCCTTGTGAGTAGCCGTGTCTCTTGTGCGTCACCATTTGTGTGCATGCGTGTGTGTGAGAGAGAATGTGTCTCTGTGTGTGAGTGTCTCTGTGGCTGTCACAGGAGCTTGTCTCTTTGTGTCAATGTGTGTGGCTGTGTGACGGTGTCTCCTGTGCATGTCCCGGTGTGTCAGTGTGTGTCTGTGTGACAGTGTCTCTGTCCATGCTCCCATATGTCTGTCTCTGCGACACCGTATCGCCTTGACGGTTGACCGTCTGCTCGGGAAACTAACTGCAGTGCATTATTGTATTATTGATTGAATCCCATTGTTGCTCGGAGCTTAAACCCTCCGCATGTGGTGGACCTTTATGGGACCTGTTGACCAGCGTGCCCCTGGATGGGATCGGGCCAGAGTTTGTATCGCAAGAAGCATTCCCAAAGACTTGAAACGAGCGATGGGCATGCCTAGCTAGGTCTTTGAAGCCCATTCTGTTGAGGATTCCTCGGACGTGCCGCAAATATGGCAAGATTTAATTGAAACATACCAGCCATAGAACCCCCCAAAATAACACCCTGGTATTGGAACTCTTTGGACAGGGCATGCTTTCCATAAGCGTATCCCCTATCTGTCGCTCCTGTCACTGGTTAATATGCAGTAGTTGACAGCCACTGGCATGTTAATCGCATGCTAGTAGTAGTGTGTGGAGTGTCAGGACCCCCCCCCCCACACACACACTGCTACTTATTTCGTGTGTCTTCGTTGCCTCCTTGTTGGCGGACTGGTTCACAGTGGGCGTGGGGACTTGGCCCAGTGCGACTGCACAATGCGATACTGTGATCCCATGTTTATCTGATGTGTGTGTGTGCATGAGGCCATACACCACTCACTAAAACCATTTAGCTTTTTAAAACACACGTGTAGTTGTTGCCCACTGATTTAACCTGGGTGTCAAGTCTTTGAAAAAATGAATTGTATGCACATACCACAAGCTTTTTGTGTGCTTGGGAGGAGAGACACCAGATGTGATGACTACTGTTTGGATTTAAATTTGCGGTGTATTCATTTCAGCAGCAAGGGGCCGATGAGCTGTTTATTTCATATGTTACACGGTACAGATGTTAGTTGTGTTCGTAAATAATTTGTGTCGGTGTGTTCAGTGACAGTCACTGTACATTGCTGTGTGCCACGTGTGTGCGTCTGTGACAGTGTTTCTGTGACTGTGTGTACGTTAACACGTATATGTTTATTCTGTTTAACCAGGTGAGTATGTTGACACCCATTGTGTTTGTTGTGCTGCTGGAGTTATGTTTTGTTGCTACCAAAACAGTTGGTGGAGTACAAAGTGCAGACCTCCCCGTGGGCTTACAATTGGTCATCTGCACCCCAGAGGCTGAATGAGCATACGCAATGTTGCAGGTTTTTTAGCCAGGCCTTGTCATTGTGGGTTTGGACAGATTTAGGTGCTGTGACAGGACACCACCGGGGCTTTAAGATGGATGCAAGAGGGGGTAGGATGTGTGGAGTAAGCAGAAGGCTTTGTACGTGTGGGTAGTAATGTGTATAGTAGAGGAGGTTTTGAGAATGAGATCAATATCTTTGTGTTGGCTTGGGGTGTTTTTTTTTACGTGCTATATAAAACACTTGAAATGAGGAGAGAAGTCAACGATGGTTGAACTAGGACCGGTTGTTTTAGGCAGGGTAAATCCATGTTATACAATTCGCGTGAGAAAGTTGGATTTTAACAAAATAACTAATCGTCTGGCTTACGAATGCAGATGCACGCAGAGAATGCGAGGCATTTCATATCAGGATCGGATAAGTTTAGAGTGTATTGTGGCAAGAGGGGGAGGAGTTGTGCATGTACGAGGAAGAGAGGAGGATTGGGATGGGTGGGGCAGTGTACAGGCTGGAGGGCACATGGCTGAGGTGGTCATTGGGCTGCCACCAAAGGGAAGACCTTAAAAGCCCGACACGAAAGCTTGATGATCAAAGAAAAGACGTTTGAGGTCGGATGTTGACTGCGATAGTTGCAGATTATAGAAAATGGGAGGAAGTGTTGGTGCATTTTGGTGACACCAGTGACGTGGCTATGATGACCCGATGACCTTGATGTTTGTGTATTATTGCATAAAACCCCCCATAAATGAATGTTTTCCGTTCGGCATGCTTGTCGATGTTAGAGGTTGAAGTCGCGAATATGTTATAAATATAGTCACTTTAATGGACATTCACAGCACATGTGTACAAATTACACAGTTCGTGGGAGCTCACGGGAAAATTAGATTTCCGAGTATATATTTTTTTTTATTAAAGGTAGCTCACGGTTGTAGAGAAACACGCGGTGATTGTTTTTCCTCTAAAACGTCTCCAAACATCCATGTTGGAGCACTCGACTCGCCGCACCTCCGAGGTCTTGCATCTGAGTGCTTGGGGGGGGGGGCACAGAGGTCCTTATGTTGTCGAGTGTCAAACTCAGAAGTGACTCGCTGATCAAAGGAACAATGGGAGGAGCGTAACTCCTTTGACCACCCTAAGCCAGTGGGGTAAATTCCACATTCCCATGGTGAGGGCGAGTTGGTTTATTGAATGGCCACTGTTGAATTACCACAACATGACACCTATTTTATCGACCCCAGACTGATGGTGGACTTGGTTTACCGCTGACTGGAGTTGGAATGCACAACATTTCAAAGAGCACAGTGCCACCCATGCGCCCAGACCAGATGTACCACTTTTCGTTACCACCTGAGGTGACGTCACATTTGTTCCACTTTCTTGGTGTGCCAGTTAATTGTGATAATCTGAAATGAATGGGTTATAACGTAATTAATTCGTATTCGTCAAATACATAATAATGTATATTTTTAAAAGTAATTTGTTTACCTTTCCTATACTTTTCACCCCTGTTATTTTTTATTGTTTGTTGTAACGTTTAAACCTGTCCCCTACTGGACATATGTGAAAAAAATGCTTTATAGCTCATCGGATTCCTCCAATATAAAACAAAAAATATTTAGACGATTCTGAAATGCAGTATATTTACTCCCCGAAAGTAGTTCTGAGTTAATAGTCCAGCCAATGGGACGAATAATCGTGGCTGGTTTGAACCGCATAGTGGCAGCACACTCGTGTGAGGTCCTGGACTCAAGCTTTGAGTTCTGGGTGTTTCCCTTTATCTCAATGGAAACTGTTCCAGCACCTTCTGAGCAGAAAGAGAGCACTGCCACATTTGTGATTGCACAACACCACGCGGTTGCATAATAAGCAGCACATGTTATTGTGTGGTGTCGTCGTTATTCCGTTGAAAAAAGTCTCCAATTAAAAAAAAAACTGTTCAAAACGTAATTCTAGACGTTATTTGTAAGGTTGTAATGCAATATTTTTTGAGCTGTGTGTTTTAAATGTGTATGCCCATAGTGTTTGATGTTGTGAGTGCTTGTTGTAAACAGGGCCCTATGGGCAGGGCAGGTCGTGGAGCTCAGAGCTGACTGTGATGGAGGCTGCCGTGTCCTGTGAAGGACAGTCTGCTGTTTCAGTACTCCGTTTCATGACCCTTGTTGATACACGCCGCTTTAATGGAGACCACTTTGCATAAAAAAATATACCTTTAGTGATGATTGGACAAGCTGCAGGAAGTGTTAAAGCGTCCTTTTAATTGTCATAGTGAACATGAATTGACGCGTATTTTCCACGTCAAGTGGTGTGTATTTATCTATTTGATAATAACCATTCTCCGTCGATTAAAAGTTGTTGTGTACAGTATTTCCCCATCTCTAGTGGGAGTGTTACGGTGGGAGAGCATTGCACCGTTTTGGTACTTTCACCTCTCGTGCTCTGTACTTTGTACTTGGAACTTCGCTTGGTGCCTGCCAGAGAGCACGCGGGGGGGGGGGGGGGGAAGGGTGTTTTTGCACATGATTGGCTTGGTGGGTCAATACAACTTGATGTGTACGTAATCCTCACCATTCTTGGTCAAGGAGCAATTGAGAAATAGTAGGTGCAGTGTTTGCTGACAGTTTGCCATAACTGGCGCGACTGCTGATTGAGAAGTTTATTTCCACTTATTTTATTTCCACTGCTGCCAGTCTTCTTACCACAGGTACTGGGTTCCACGTGACCTGTTCTGGAGCAATGGGGCCTCATGACAATTTAAGAACAAATTCTGTATAAAATCCTGCGCCATAACTACTGTGTTTTGGCAGTTCATTGCTATTGCCCTATGATAGTCATGGTGCGTTAAGAGGTGATGTTCCATAAATACTATTTGCTTGTTTTTGTGGTATACATTTCTGTTGAGCCGTGTGTCCATTGTGTGATCTTTGCTTGATCAGACTACCCCATGGGGTATCCTTACCTCGCTTCAAAGTATATTCACATTGCTATGCGGATTTTCATTTTCAGTTCCAAATGTGTTACAACACTCATGATAATCAGCCCATGCAGCTTTTTCCTGTGTTTTCATTATGCTGGCATGTGGCCGAAGTTTGAGTTCCAGTTCTGTATTGAATAGATCGTCTGTGGAGGAGTTTCATATTTTGCCAGTGTTCTTGTTTAATTTCGTTGGTTTGTGCTTCTGAGGATGGGTGATGCTGGTAAAATGATGGTCTTGTGTGAAATGTGAATTTGAATTCCGTCCACATCATAGTGAGTCCTCCCACCATGTTTCTGTGTAAGCCTTTTTCCGCCCCACACTGTTCGCACCTGCTGAGCTAGTATGTGGGTGTTACTATACCACTGTATGTTTAGCATTCCTTGAAAAAAAATCACAAGTCGCTCTGTTCATTTGGCATATTTCTGACAAACATGCAAGTTATTGTTATTGCACTTAATGAATCAATAAAATAATAACGCTGTACAAAGGATGGCTTCAACACAGTCATAGCCTTTTACTCCTGGCAATGGGATTCCTCTGGGCCATGTGAATGTCGTTTTGCATTGATAACTATTTGCACTGGATGCAGCACACAACAACACCCATGTCTGTGCAGTGATAATTGGCTGCGCCTTCACTCCATACCTCGGCA